TGAATGCATCGACTCGAGGAACGTTCGTTTTTCTAAATTATGTACTCTTTTCTCTAAGATTGTAGCATTGTTAATAGAGGCATTGTGTCCTGTGCTTTCTGCGTGGTCTTTGATTGCTGACTTAATCTCCGAAAATTTAGAACTTTTTAGACTTTTTATTGTACATATTCTAGTATTTTAAAAAGAATTTTAGACCAGCTTCAACTCCAAAACTATCATATATATATATATATATATGATATCCAGCCGGAGATGCAGATGCCATGCTTTCACCCAGTTTCACCCAGTTCTGGGTGGAAAGCCAGAATGAAAAGAAATGTGACAATTTTGAAGAGTTGCCTTCAAAAGACAACATTCAATCAAGGCAAACTTGATGTTACTGGCACAACCTTGCCCAGAGTAGATTGAATGTACATTGTACACACCTAATGTGTGAGCCTGTGTGTAGGAGCTTTTCGTCACGTAAGACACATTAAGTTTATTTTATACATTGGCTAAATTTTGTATGCACAATAAATGCTATAGTTAAGTAGAACAAAAATGCATCCTGGTTTAATAGGTGAAAAAAAAGTCCCTTCGGGCAACGTGAAGCACTGTTTGACAAGGGTCATACCTTCTACTTTCAGTAAATAAAACTAACATAACAAGTAAATAAAACTAAAATTATTTCCGGTCATTAGATCTGGGTTAGGTTTCAAGGATTGAGTACATCCTCCCCCATCCCTCAAGGATTGACACCCCTGAATGCCTAGTGAGCATAGGATTTTTCAATTGTCTTAGCATGGATTTTAATACACTCCACAACAAATAGTTTCGGTATCTGCAGAAATCAGCATATATCTGAGCTAAGGGGCGGTTGACAAATAGATTTCGTCCACCGATCACAGATTTGTTCAGCAATGGGGGGAGGGGGTCAGCTTTGAATACGCTATGAAAACCAAAATGAGGACAAACTCTAAACTAGTGTCCATAAACCCAGCGAAGTTTATCCGACATTATCCAAACATTTACGCTGGAGTATTTGATTGCGGTCAGTGAGACTGCACATAGGATATTTTTACAAATAGCCCTTAGTATACCACAAAACACTATTTAAACATTTATTAAAATAGTTTGTTTATTTGTGGAGTCTATACTCGTTGTCAAAGCAGCATTCTAATACCGTCGAGTGTCGATGGCCAAAATCCTGATATTTTATACTTTCCCATGTTGGTCCACGATGAAGGAGGGGGTGAATACCATCACTGAACAAGTCTGTGATCGGTGGACAAACTCTATAATACTAAATAGATTTTCTCTCCAAATCTTGTCCACAGCCCCTAACAGTGGTTAATATTAATTATTACTAATTACTATATTACTATGATACACCAATAACTATCAATAACTATGTTCACAGTTCACCCTTTTAGGTTGTTGAAGAAATATGGGAGCCATGTACTTTTGTAAATTTGCTATTAAAACCTTAGCCTACTTCCCTAATATAGACACTTGGTATTCAAAGAGCGATGGATATCAAATTATGTCAAACAGGAAATTAAACTTCCTCAACACCAACAGTAGCTTGATCTTCTGTTCTGCTGATAAAATTTCGTGCTATCTTTCCTCATACGAATAGTATTAACATAACAAACTCTCTCTGAGAAAAACTATTCAATACATGGAACCCAAAATCCGTAACATTGCAATTAGAACAGATTTGAATAATGGCATTTGATAATTCGAAACGATCGTAAACAAGTCAAAACATTAATCACTGAACGCTCCTACATTCACCACTCACCGGTATAATTAGTAACTAACAGTCAAATATAATCTTCAGGAGTTGTCTTAAAGTCCCACAATGATATGATCGTACTCTACATTCGTAATACAAAACAAAACAGACGTGTATTCATTCCATGATCGTCGCGATCAAAATTCTTTCATTTCATATTTGTGATCTCTTCGAATTCTTTGATCATTCCGAATATGCGGCCAAGCAACGTTCACACAGCGGTATCAAATATTAAGGGTGCGTACTTGGTGTAAGGTCACACCAAATTACGGTGCAGTCCACTCTATATACCACTAATCTGGCGAAGACTGAATAACATGCACATCTCAATTGGAAATTATATAAAATCGAAAATCAAACATCCATGTAGGCTACCCCTCTACACAAATCTTGAGATGTTTATAACGAAAAAAATTGTTCCCCCCACACTCCCCCCCCCAGACACCTATTTTACCGGATATCGGAGGACTACATATCTGATATTGAAGGCTAATTTCCACTCCGTATAATAAGCAGCGGATTGGAGGTTTTTCCGATCCAGCAAGCGATTTCCAGTAAAAGGACAAGTGGAATGATCGGATTGGAAAAGGAAAAAATGGAGCTCGTTCCAGTTAATCCAGTCTCACAAATTACTATTTCGCGCTTATTTCAAAACGGCAGCGACTCTGAACAAACGTGTCCACTGTCCTTCATCTGATTTCAAAGGAGAAGCAAACAAGAAAACACAAAAAGAGCATTTGGATAAGAAAAATTTTCCAGGAAAGACAATGGAAAAGTAAATACCACTTATTGATAGAAGCTACCATAAATATTTTTTAAGCAAACAAATTAATTTAAAGAGCTGTTGTACTCTCCCATTCTTGTAAATTCTCCCTCGAATTCTCCAAGAATTACCTCCTAAATTATCCTCCATTTTGTAAATTTTATACAGGTATTGTTTAATTATTTTAATATATGTTAGATAATACAGATTTTGATTGGTCGCCATGTTTAATCCGCGGACCGGACCAAAAAAAGTTGAAAATATTTCAACTTTTTATTATCCGGCTAGCAACGTCGCCGGATCAATCGGAACCAAAAATTTCTACTGATGGCGCATGCGCGGATTTTGTTCTGTTCCGATCCGATCCGCAGTCCGCTGCTTATTAGACAGGTTCAGATTTGACTTCCACTACCACTACCGCTACCTTAAATGTGTTACGCATGCGCTGTAACTGCAAGATCGTGAGGAAATCGTCGCATCATCGCATGTCAGTTTTTGGTTTGGGACCGTAACAAAGCGATTTATGGTCGTCGGGAGAAGTCTAATCTGAACAGGTCTAAACCAGGGCGCTTATATAGTAATATAAAAGCGCCCTGGTCTAAACAGTCCGTCGCGACCGCTACCAATGGAGCCATCAAAGGTAGCGGTAGTGGTAGTTGAAGTTGAATCTGAACCTGCCTATTATCCGGAGTGGAAATTAGCCTCTTAAGTCCGAATAGTCGCGAATTTGATACCATGTCTGAAATCAGTATTTCAAGGGAAATTTAAGTTTACTAATCATTAATTATTCATGAATTTGAGATAAAAGTATATTCAATTTAGCGACAATTAATCGATGTAAAATATTTATCGTTTTAAAGATACAGTAAAACGTGAATAGGGCAATAGACGATCTGCGCAAGAGAATAGAGGATGCAGAGATCCAGCGAACTACATATGCGATTCAGATAGCTGACAATTCTTAAAAAATAAAGCTTCTTGAACTGTCCGGAAATCATACTGTACTAAAGAAGCAGAGAAAATTCTTTATGTTTTCACTGCATTTCCACGAAATTATTATTTCGCTGGCGAACAGAAGAAATCCAGCCAGGAGCTTAAACGTATTTTGGAAGTGGAGGAAACCTGGAAATAAAACAAGCCTGTTATGACGGTACGGGAGATGTAGATTTGTGGCTTATGAAAATGAAGTTGTATTGTTCTACAAAGAAATTTGAAGGTAAACAAGAAGCTCACGCCATAGCGAGTAAACTCGAGGGGGCGGCGTTTCTATGTATTGCGAGATTAGACGATGAACTTCAAGATGACCCAAAGGAAGTTAAAGCCGCTTTAAGGAAGGAATTCGACAAAGAATCGATCGACCACGAGAAAGCTGTCGACGAATTACGAGGTTTAAGGCGAAAGGCGGTGAAACACCAGCACAGTTAGCGTGGAGAATCGAAAAGTTGATGGCGAAGGCTTACCCGGAGTTATGCGCGTCAACACACGGATCGGCAAAGAAAACAAAGGAACAAATGTTACATGATACCTTTTTGGGAGCTATTGACAATGCAATGAGTCGAAAGATAAAGAGCGACAGTAAACATCGAGATTTAAATTTAACACAACTTTCTGAAGAATTAGATCGGCTCGAGCTAATTTATAAAACAACAGCGCCAAAGGTAAACCTCGAAGTAAACAATTTCAAAACGACAGGGGAAGCAGACGAAATATCGTTAAGAAAGATAATCAGAGAAGAGGTAGCAGCCGCCCTATCCAAAGAAAACGATGGAAGTCGGGAAACGGAGGACGAAACAAAACGTACGGTCGGGTTCGTTGGAAAGAGAAATTTCCCGCCAAAACCTAGGAGTGGAAAAACCGGTAAAAATCAAGCGTGTTTCCACTGCCAGTCGCCTGAACATTTTCGGAAAGACTGTCCATTTAAAGATCTTTGTCAACGCTGCTGGCAAAAGGGCATACAGCACCATCTTGCCATGCTCCAAGCCCTCGCCCTTCACCGTCTTTAAACTCCAAGGCGGCTGGGAACAATCGTCAGCAAA